ATTACATTCCAGACTGTATAATGCCAAATATTTCAAAACCTTTTCATTCTTAAGCTCACTAAGAATGCAAGCCCAGTGGTGGGCTAATGCCAGTCCTTTTGAGGAACTGCTACAAAAATCCACTTCCCTGTCCCCTCCCACATTAACTGAAGCAAACGTTGGAGTCTGATACATGAAGTCCTTGAGACTTTATTACATTCTGAAAGCCCTGCTGTGTGAAGGTGAAAACACTGTAGCAAATTTTTTGCTAAATGCTGACTAGAATTTAGTTTTTATCAAAATGTTTAGAAACAGTAACTTCTGTGGTGAGGCACTGGAACAGGTTGCCCAGAGAAGCTGTGGGTGCCCCATCCCTGGAAGTGTTCAAGGCCAGGCTGGATGAGGCTTTGAGCAACCTGGTCTAGTGGAAGGTGTCCCTGCCCATGGCAGGGGCTTGAAACTGGATGAGCTTTAAGGTCCCTTCCAACCCAAACCATTCTATGATTCAATGATTCTTTTTCCTTGCGTGATTTATTTTCACTTGAGTGGGTCACTGTTCTGTTGCAATGGTGCTCTTTACTATTAAAGCTAAAAATGAGATTTTTTTAATGTGCGAAACGTTTGGTGCTGGCATTGCTTTTAAATGGGCTGTAAAAATTAGGAGATTGTTCAAAGTTGCCAACTTCAACCCATCTTGTATTTAAAATCAATCTGTGAAAGACAAACTCCAGAGTAGTGGGTAGTTTTTTGACAATACATTCTTTTTTTTCTCAAAAGAAAACAACCCACAATAAATTACTTCTTTTCAGGGAGCTTTTTAGTGTTTTGTTATTGACGGCTTTGATTCAGACAAGTAGCTGAACCCCTCTTAGAGTATTAACAGGAAAATTAGATTAAGCCTTTTGATTTGCCTGCTGTTCAAAATGTTTGCATTCCTTGATTCCTGTTAAAGCTATAGAAATGTGCTAAACTGTCCGTTGTTCAACTGATCCCTTTGCAGTAAGTTTTTGTTTAATATTGGATAATATAACAGACCTGAGCATGTTTTCCTCATGAAGTTTTGTGGGTAGTCAGCAGTGCAAGTGTGGCAGTAGAAAGGTAGTAAGATGCTGCAACATTTTGACAGCTTCCACCAAATTTGCATTATTTCCAGATGGAAGTATAAGGAAATTAATTTTGTTGTTTCATCCTGATGTATTACAGTACTTGAATTTTGTACGTCATCCAAACTGCATGCTATCAGCTAAGACCAAAATAATCACGTATTTGGTAGGGTAATGCTGTTCCAAGCGTTCACCATATATTATTGTGGTAGAAAAAGTATTAAGAAAATTCATTACTTTAATAAGTGTGCTGCCCTGAAATGTCAGAATATCAGCTTTTGTTCATAGTAGCAGAATGACTGCTGAAGAGTGCTGTGTCAACGCTGTGGTTTTTTACACACTGTCAGCTCGGCTCCCAGTAAAGCTCCCCGCTTACCATGCGCTTCGTGTTGCTTCGCAGCAAGGCTGTTCATCGCTGCCTTAGTCAATAATATGACCCCCTCCGCAGCTTTAACCAAGCCTGTAATCTTTAATGACACTGAAATTTAATGTGTGGGTTATTTTTTTTCCTCTTTGTTTACCATTACTTTGAAGAGCTCTTTTTGGGAAAGAGAGCTTTTATTTTTAGGACTACCTAGTTTTTTTTGTGTGTACGTTTGCTGTTGTCAATGCGTATTGTGTGTTCAGCTGACATTTTGGTAACGACATAATGGTGTTGGTGGGTCTTGAAAAGTGAGATGATTAATATGGGCTTCTTTGTCTTGTATGGGTGGTGTACCTGGTTTCTGCTTGCTCACTGCGAAGTGAGAGGTAGTGCTAGGAAAGAAAAAAGTTGTGAATGGAAAGTGTTTTACACAGATGGTATGCTTACGAGTGCCCATTTGACAGGCTATGGGAAAAGTTTCGCTGAGAGCCTCTATTTTCAGCTCTTCCAGGAATAACTTGTGTAACTTTTTTACTTTATCAGACAGAGCTTGTTTTTTGATAACTGAGAAGACGTGTGGAGTTATTTACCCATTCATCTCTCTAGTCTGTTTAGGTTGAGATTGATGTTTGATGTGTAAGTAGCGTGATAGTCTTGTAAAAAAAATTCCAAACTTTTTTTTCACTTAAAACCACGGCAGGGTATAGGCAGGTTAGGTGGAAAAGCTGTAGGAAAGGAATAAAGTGGAACATTTCTCATAGGAATAGGAGCATGTAGGTAGACGTTTTTTGTTGTTGTGTTTTTGTTTTTATTTTTTTAATATACTACTTTGCTTATTATAGATTGATGTGATGGTCCGGAGGGAGAGCTAGAAATACATTTGAACATTTGGAAGATAATAAGAAGGCTTCTAATCATTTTTTCTCTGTGTGAGCCAGTGTGAATTTCTGCACTTCATAACGTAGCTGAATTTGTGTAAATTATCATAAGGATAGGGAATGGTGCATCTTTGAGCCTGTCACTTACTTGATGTACTTAAAGTGTTACTTTAAAGTGTTACTTAAAGTGTACTTAAAGCTCCAAACAGATAGCCCTAAGATTTGTACAGAAATAGTAAACTACATTATAAACTGACAAATCAGTTTTTTCTTCTTGGAAATTGCTAAATAGTATTTTAGCATCAGTTTTTGGGAAAAAAACTTTCATAAAAAATTTCAGCCCAATGGGGCATGCAACTGAAAACCAGTGGCCCTGGCAGTGCAAAATACTACTGAACATCACGTCAGATGGGGAGTTTTTAGTGGGACTACGAATGTGCCATTGAAACTTGAAATGGAAACTAGTCAGCAGAAGGGAAGATGTGGCAGAAGAGTTGTTCCTGTCCTGCTCTCAGCTATGTTCTCTCAGTCTTTGCTTCTGTTAGGTGGGTTTTGGTGCACTTTCGTAGGTGCTGTAGGCATAGAAGAGAGAAGGCATCCAGGCAGCCTTTCTACACCCATTTTCAGAAGCCTCCATCTTCTGTTAATTACAAATTCTGGAATCCAAATGACTGGGAATGTGAAAAGACATACTGGTGGTGTTGCTGATATAGTAGTGTTGGGTATGGCATACTTGGTGGTTGAAAAAGAGGAAAGTGGTGGGAACAATGAAAGCAGGTGTGTTTGTGCAGGTATAAGCCTGACTTTAAGATTGGGCTGATGAACTTTAAAGGACTGTTTCTGCAATTTTCTTTTTTCAAAATGACAGTATTTTATCTTACTAAATGTAAAACGATGACATGTAATAGTTGCACCATATAGCTGAAAATATTTTTGAAATGTAATCTTGAAGTGTCCTGTAGCTCTGGCAGTCCCTTCATTTAGATTTGCTGATTCAACAGGCGTTACCATCACGTAGAGCATGTAATTAGAATGCTTATCATAGGAAGAACTAAAGGAAAAACACACAAGACTTACTTTTGAGTTTAAGTAAGTTTGAAAAATAAGCTGTTGATCTCTGTGTTACGGTAGAAAAGCTCCAAAGCACAAAACTCTGACAGCATTTTTCTGTGTAAATCATGTTTGTCCAACTGCTGTTGATAGCTCAAAGCAAAAGAAATTTCTGCATAAACTAGAAAAGAAACCCCCCAAAAGAAAACATCCCTTTTATTCCTGAAAGGTCCTTTTTGTTACTTATGTCTGGGAAGTTTCTTGGATGTGGTTGATTTTTTTTTTTGGTTGTGAGAGTAATTAACAGACAGAGAAAAAATAATAACATATTCTTGCTGTCTGAACAAATGAATTTCTTCCACGTGTACCTGATAGTGTGGTGAAGTGACTTGTTTTAACACAGATGTACGCACAGTACAGTACTGGAGAGATGGAACAGTTTTGAACAGTGTTCTTTTGAGTTTAGGGTGACCAAGAAGTATTGATGTAACTAAAACACTACTGCATAAGCTAATTTGGGGATTCCATTCTTGGTATTTTCTGTGTTTCGTGGAGTAGCTAATGATCTGGATAAACATGTAAGTAGATGGCATCATCTCTTCATGGTTATGGCCATCATATTTTTGGATGTTTTCAGTTGTAAGATCCAAGCAGTTTTCTCTGTAAAATGCATTATTTCATTTAGAGGCTACAGTTGTTTTTTGCATGTTGAGCACTTGTGTGAAGCCTTAATTTTTTCTCTTCTTTATTTATATAACATGGAAAATTTTGTGGATTTTTTTTTTCCAGTGAATAATCACTGCTAAAAAATTCCTTCACACATTTCTCTATACTACTTCCAACATACAGTTTTGAATCACGCAAAGATTTTTGTAGTCTTATGATAAACTGCTGGAAAACTGGAGCTTTCTATTGGGGCCTGTAAAATTCATGTGTTGTACTTGGTTTTTGTTGATTTTTATGGAAACTAGATGGAACTAAAAAAACCAAGAAGATATTTTCAGTTAAATTACCAATTTATAATACACTTCTACCTGTTACATATTTTAGTATGATACAATTGTCATCATCACTTAATGGTGTGATGTATTAAGTACACATGGAAGTCTTACTGGCTACTTCTATAATTTCAGTGAGCTGTGACAAGATCAGATGTATAATTTAACCAAGACTGCCATGGACTGTAATTTATTTAAATGTTGACTGATTTCTGTCTCTGGATTACTTGCTTCATTGAGAGTAAAGTGAAAGCTTTAGGTTTTAATACTTGTTGTTATTGTTACTGGTTCCCAGGTCTCCCTGTCTTCCACAAAAAGATGAAATACAAAACAGCTCTAGGCTGTATTAAAGATGACTTTGTCGTATGATCTAGCCCGCATTCTTGACTTCATCATCCCATTTAGATGTGGAGTCTGCTGTCAGATCTTCTGGACTCAACAGTCCCACGAGTGGAAAAAAACCCCATTTTTGGTGGTTGAATTTGATACTTTCGTAAGATTAGTCCACAGTTTCCATTATAGCATGAAGTATTCCAAACATATGTAGGTGTGTTTTTAATTCAAATAGTTGTCAGATATAATTAAATTGCAGTTTGCATTCTGATAATGCAATTCTTTAATTCAGGGTTTCATATGATGAGGCTTTTATTATGGCCAGTGACCCCTTGGAAGGCTTTCATGAAGTGAACCTTGCTTCGCCAACGACACCGGATCTTCTTGGCGTAAATGAGCCGGGGACTCAGGAACAAACTACCTCACCCAGTGTTATCTACCGACCACATCCTTCTGTTGTGTCCTCCGCACCGATCCAACCCAATGCATTAAATGTTTCTGACCTTCCCACGCAACCTGTTTATTCATCTCCCAGACAGCTGAACTGTGGAGAAGCATCAGGTGTCAGGTAAGGTCTGTGTGTCTGTTTAAATTGCTGGTTTGTTGCATATAAAGTGCTTGCTTTACTAAAGATGTAATTTTAATATCGCTTACAGTGTAGTAATATTAAATTGTGTCCATAATGGTACATTCAGCACCACTACTGCCATTTCTAAAATATTTCTTCTTAATGTATTATGTAAATAAAAAAATATATCACTCTCTTTACAGCATCAATGTTACCGACGCAGTACTTTGTTCTACCTCTGGACCCCAGGGTGGGTCATTCAATCACAATAATTCCAGAAAGGAGAGCAATAACGCAGAGAGGGAGTTTTTGCAGGGTGCTACAGTAGCAGATGTTGCAGAAGGAAATGAAGATATTTTTGGGTTGAGTACAGACAGTTTATCTCACTTACGGAGCCCATCTGTACTGGAAGTAAGAGAAAAGGGCTATGAAAGACTGAAAGAAGAACTTGCAAAAGCTCAGAGGGTAAGGCTCATTGTCTTGTCTACTCCTGCTTTTTCTCTCTTCAAAGTGGTTCTAATATTGCAGAATGATAGATGGGCCAGATGGTGCAGTCTGGGTCTACTCGTTTCTTACAGAATTATTAGGATGTCATTATTTTATGTAAAATTATTCTGAATGTGTGCAGTGATGATGTCTTAGAATTATTACTTGATAGTGTTTTTTTTCTAGTGCTGCCGCTACTTAGCCATGGAAAACTTTTGCTGCAGTATGTGGTTAAACAAGCTTTTTCTTTGAAATGTAGACAGTTCCTTCATTCTGACATTTGAGACTAAGTAATTTTCTGTCATTCCATTGTTACCATGTAAGTATTTATAGATGCTGATTATATACCTCTTGAGGCTTCTCTCTTCTGGAGTATAAAAGTGTAGCACGTGTCACGGAATAAAGAAGTGCTTTAGAACAGGGGTACTTGTGTTGCTTCACAGGGGAATGCCTGCATAGGAAAGAAGCACTAAAGATGTCCTAGTGTTCTTCAGAGTAGCGTACTGCTACACCACACTTCAAATTTAATATGGATACCTTTGAAGACACTGTGGCTCAATTCATTAATATTTGTAAAGCGCTTTGTCTTGTTTGGATGAATGGTGCTATATAAATGCAAAGTCATTATTTATCACTTTAGCATCCCTCTGTGCATAAAATGTGTGAGTAGATTTTGTGCTATTTGTATCTGTGCCCTTTCCTCTCCTCTACATATTTCCATTCTTGTTTAGATTTAAGCTCATCTTCTCTTGTGTTTGAACCTGTGTATGTTACCTAGTCTTGTTGAATGTAGTAGTTTCTGTCATAGTTGCATTTGCCCTTGTTAATATGAATGTTAAGTAAGGATTCTGACATCACTTCTTCTGTTAATTGTTTTATTGCTGGGTAGTTGCTTCCTTTGCTAATGTGTTCATTTGCTTAGTGTTTGACGACTGAAAGGAGATACTAACCTGAGCTAAGTTTGAGGATCTTGCATGTGAATATGTAATCCTAGCAGTTAAACTTGGAACTTTAAAGTAATAACAAATTAAAGTTTAAACTTTAGAAAAAGCTCTTCTAGCTCCTGCCAGGATACCAAAGTACAGGTAATGTACTTAAAAAACACAGCTCAGAACCGCTACTGTTAACTTGAAATCATCTGGAAACCTTATTCCAGTGTTATACCACTTTATCTCTTAAAGATGGAAATGTTTCCTATTTCACTCTGAAATTTAAGGTAATATTTAAGGAAATGGCATTAAGGCTGCTAGGACATACTAACTGCATGTTAAGTATTTTCAAACCCTTTGGGTCTTCTTAACAAAAGTGATTCAGCACTAATGAAACTGATGTCAAAGTTCTTGCTAATTCTCAACCCCTCAGGTTGATTCTTACCAGTGTTATACTGGGTGGATAACTTTTGTCTGTTTCTCTTCCTAAACTTGTAGTGTTTCAGAATTGCCCAGTAACACAGGAGTCATAACAGTCTTTACAGACTCTACAACAATAAACCCTTTCTTTCTGTAATATCTACTGTCTTCCACTTCCTGCATGAGGACAAGCATTTTTTCTATCCCTAATTCATCTCTGATTGCTTTCTTCCAAAAGTCATGGCTGTTCACATAGGGCTGTGCCCACCCTGTGGTATCCAGTATTGTCATGCAGCCTTTAAACTTTTATTTTAAAGTCTATTCACTTCTGTTGATGAGTGTTTGGTTTACAAACCTGTAGGGATATATTAATAGGCAGTGCCTGTCTGTAGCTGGCTGTTTTTTGCATAATGGTTTTAAATTCGCTGTAAGTCTCTGTGCTCTTTATTAAAAACAATGAGGAAAAATGAGAATTGCAATTTGCACTTGAATTTTGGGAACTCATTCAGCCTGAAAACCTTACAGGTTTCCTACAGACTTTCCAGGAGTGAACAAACTAAACACAAATCTGCTATCTTGCATTTTTCATTTGTCCTAAATTTCTGTAGGCTATTGTAAGATGCATTAAAGGTTTGATTTTGAATTTGTTGCAGTTGTGATCAGAAAGGGAACTAGAAAGGAAATAAGAATTTTGAAGCTTGAGGACCCACTATCTAATTTTTTTCATGTCTCTGCTTGGAGTACAACTTTTTCCTTACTATGCTCTCTGGTTTTTTTATATTGGAGAATATATGTATGATGTGTAACTGTTAGACATTTAAGTATGGTTCTTGAAATTACTCAGGTATAGAATAAAGATTTTCTTGGTTTTCCCCTCTTTTGTGTATGCCTTGTATTTCTTAAGACTACAAACTTCACCTCTCACAATGAACAGCATTGTTGGCAAAATTGTTTAAAAAAAGAAGTGTCAAATTTGTTTCTTGACGAGCGAAAATACACTTTCTGCTTCAATCTAGGTTGGTTGCACTATCAAATCTTGTGAGATTGGGAGAAATGTTGGGTCAGAAGTAAAGGCAGGATGGTATTCTATGCTGATGGAACATGTGAGATTGGACACACTTTTGCTTTTAAATGTCCCCTTAATTGAAATGAGAGATTTCTTGCTCTTTGAGACCATTCAGGTCACTTTTGCTTATTTTTTCACTGAAGACTATGTTTCTGGCTATGTCTTATAAAGTGGAGCTGAAGAGCCCTTGGTTTAGTTGATTTGAACCTTTCTCCTTGTTTTGCTACTCTTTTAAAGCAGCATCAGGAAAACTGAGGTGTTAAAAGGCTTAGAGATTTGCTGCCTGGGACCTTATATCCTCCTGTCTCTGAGCTGTGTCACCGTGGTTACTGACGATAGATCAACCACATGGAGATGGCGTTTGAGAGAATAGTGATGGTATTTTTATCTATGGTATTTGATGTGGAGTCCTTGCGAAGGAATCCCTTTCGTTTGCTTTTTGTCTTAACTAACCAGCACGTTGCATGTCTTTTGGGTAGCTCACTTGTAGTTTCTGAGCTGTGACAGTTCACAGTCATGTTTTCCTTGAAGTTTTGTGTGATTTGGCCCTGAAGTTATTTCCTCAGCAATCACACTGTCAATATAATGATATCATCCATGACTGCAGGGGGCAAAACTTAGGCTTCTGTGTTGATATATTTTCTCTTGGAGTGTTGAAATTATGAGCTGCCACTGGTGGTTAGCCCCCTTCTTTCTTGAGGAAAGAGCAGTCTACCAGAGATGTTGGTTGCAAATACTGATTTGGTTTGAGAATGAATTCCATGCCTCCCATGACCTTTAGAGTTAGAGCTGTGGGCTTGTTGATAACAAGGAAATGATGTTTGATTTTTTTGTAGTAGAAATCTGAATTACTGGTATTTTCTGTAGATTGAAATTGAGAGTTTTTCCACACTGATACAGTGATTCTTGTGAAAGAGGTGACAGTATAGAATGTGATGGTGTAAATTTCAACCTAGTTGAAGAACCTGATCCTCTGATCTACATTTTTCTTTCAAAGGCTTCAATTTCTGTATGCATTCTTACAGAAACAAACTGAGTCTTACAATTCGATCTCTCGTCTTCAGATTTTTTGTGATACAGGATTTGAAGTAGATTTTTTTCTTTCCAGTTGTTCAGTCTGTATTGTCAAAGAATCCAGTGTAACAGAGGCTATTGCCATTACTGTAGTGTTTCTGTGCAAGCTAACACTGGCAGTTAAATATCTTTATTTTTCCACAGTGAAACATGACATTTTAAAACTCTGCATAGATTAATGAATAAATAGTCACAATAACTATTCAGGAATTCCAGGAGTACTATACAGTACCTTCAACATTTTTAAATTTCTGTTGTCATTTGCCTACCAGTTAATGAACAATGAAAATGAGGATGCACCAGAATAATACACCATCTCAGAACTCCACTGAAGAGTATGCTTTCAAGCTTTTCTAGAACAAAATTGCAGTTGAAATTGTAGGCCACTGGCTTGTGATTGTTAAAGATGGGTCTGTTCTCTGAAGGTGTGTTAGCAGTTCCTTGCTGTCTTTGACTAAAGTTTTCGGTTTCCACACCTCTGACTGATGCTATTGTAGAAGGCACAGACATTTTCTTGGGCAAGTAGAAGACTCCATGCAAGCAAAACAGAAGCATTTTTACCCACACCATAAGATAATAAGTCAGTAGTTTATGAAATGCTCTTATCCCTGAAAAGACGTTCTGGACCTTCTCTCACATTAAACAACCTTGTAAATGTGGTTGCAATGGACTAATTTTTGTGTAGCTTGTTTAACTTGGATGCTGACTGAACACCAGTCAAATAGAAATGTATTACAATACATACGAACTTCTCTGCCATCTTCAGAATTCAGCAATATCCCGTGGTTCTGATTTTAAGTGATATCTGTAGAAAATCTTTTCTCTTTCCTTGATCTTCCACATCTAGTTCTGGCTTGTTTAAAAAGCTGAACTAGATGCAGGATGATTTGCTTTCTAGAATTTAAAATGTAAATGGCATTGAAGCAGTAATTTGTATTCCCTATCTGACTGGTTCCTTCTAAAGACCTATGTTGTGTTCTGTTTGTGAGGATCAAAGTGAAATAAGCAGTAATATGACTTTGATAAAGGATTTTTTTTTAACTTCAAGGGTTTTTTCCATGCAAGTTACCTACTTTGGTAACTACTTGTGTTGTGCTTTGTAACATCTTATCTTCACGTAGTTACTTTTTGGAACAGTAATGGGGGAACGATTGCACCATGGATGGTTAGTGTAGCACAGGCAGTTGTCTTTTCTGCCTCTGTATTGTGTGTGGTTGGGAAGCTTCTAGTAATGCCTTGAAGACACTGGCAGTAGTAATGTTTCTAGTAACTGTGAAGCTTCTTTCCTTTGGGCCCCTTTTTATTTCTGCCCTGCTTAAAAAAAACCCTGAAAAAACCACCATGAGCTATTAAACTTGCTTGGTAAAATAATGTGGTGTTTTATGCTCCTCCTGAATCATTTCATGGAAATTTGCCCAGTGTTTGACAAATCTAGCTAAGCAGCTATGCGTACTAGACTGCTTGGTGTTGTCTACTTTTTTGTTTTCATTAAGTGGCTTTACTTGTCTGCCTAAATTTTAATATAAAAAGCCCTCTGATCTTTCCAATTGCAGACAAAACTGTAACTATCTTACATAAAACTGTGGATTGATAGTGATAGCCAAAAGTGAAACTGGGGTAATTCTGCTTTCATTGTGAGTTTGGTAACTCTTGACCTGAGTATTAATATAACCTGCTTTTCAGATGTATTGATGTGTATGTAGCATTCTCCTTATAAATCAGTGAAGTAAACTGAAGGAAATGGATTCTCTGCAGTTGTAGGAACACATGAAACTTTAGCTTCAAGCATTTGATATCATAATCTTTAATTTTCTTAAGAACTGTACTTTATATGGGAAATACTTTTAAACCAACACAATTAATTAAATTTTGTTTCCCCTTTCTTAACCTTTTCTTTTTCCCAATATTTTTTTCCCTGTGGCTTTCTATATTCCTTTTTTCCTTCTATTCCCTCCATCTGTAACTGTTTTTCTGATTTGTTTTGTGCTTGAGGTTTTTTTTGATTGAGAAATAGGTCACTGTGCAGAATAGTAGCTAGTAAGTAGGAGTTGAGTACTATTTGAGAAATACCATGTTTGCAAAACCACCATCATTTAAGTGGCGCCTTTCAAAATACTTAAAAGGTTGCGTAGGGAAGCAAACAAATGAGACTAAAAATCAGTCAGAATGTCCAAAGTTAAAACCAAATAAAAGAGGCAAAATAATGCCTTTGATACTAAATGGGTCTAGAACAGTCCTTAAACACTTGCCATATTTAGGAGCTGAAGTCAAACAGCACCCTTCATCTCAGAGAAAAATCTATTGCCAGTTTCACTGAAGAAATTGAGAGCAAGACCTAGTATCAGCGTGCTACAAGGCCAGATGTAATTTCCCACATTGCTGCGTATAACATTACTCAATCATGAAGACTGGGAGAAATACTAATCAAATCCCAGGAACAAGGGGAAGCTGCTACCTGGGCCTTTTTATGACTCTGTAGTGGCTGCCCTCCCAGAGTTTCCTGAAGTCAGGTGTTTTCTTTACTGCTTTCTGGAGGTTTGCAAAGCAAATCATTGCTAGACTGTATTTGGAGTCTTTTACCAGGTCAGTGACAGGCTTGGGTCCTGTATTTCAGGAACTGTGGTAGTGTAATAGGTTGCTTGGCAGAGGGAAAAGTGGGGTAGGAAGAACTAGATGGGGATGGGAATTAGGCCCCCCCCCAAAAAAAAAGCTTGAAAGGTCAGAATGAGCTGTCTGCTGCTTTTCTTTACATTACTTTCTCTCCATTGTTCTTTCTTACAAGAGATTTCAGGGTTTAAGGGTTGAGGAAGGGGAGAGGAACTTGTATTTCAAATTCCTTGTCAAACTTATTGTACTTCTCTGCAAAGTACCCTACTTTTCTCTCAGATTTGGGACAATACAGACGAGTTTTTGCTGTATAATGGTTACATGTGCCCAATGTGTGTTAAAATCTTACTGCAGAAGTGATATATGGTCAGGCCTTTACTCAAATTTTAGTAGTGTAGAAGAATAATGTTTTGAATTTCATGAAGTTGCTTTAATTTGATTTTTATATCAGCATAAACAAGAGCAAGGATATAATTACAGTTTGATTTTTGGAATTGTATTTGTTGTAAGGACATATGTAGGAGACAGTAACATATACATTAAGATTCTTTTAGAACTGGGGATTGTCTTGAGACAAAGCTTTTTGGTTTTGTTAAGGATTTCTTTCTTTTAAGTGTATGATAAGGAATGGGTACACAGAACTGTTAGTCTGTCTATCCCAATAATTTGATCTATACTTTAAGTGACTTTAGTCGTCTATACTTGCAGTAAAAAAGCCTTTTGTTACTTAAGAGAACTTTGGAAATGCTGATGTCTAGCTTAGAGGTACTTTAGATTGGCCTGGTATGTTTCTGTATAGTAGGAAAAAATTAATTTAATTGCTTCTAGTGTTAAGATTAATATTTTGAAAGGTTTTGTTTAGCAAAGGTTTTATGTTCCTCTATTTTTTTTCTTTTTATCCTCCCTCTCTGTGGTATTAGCTTTAAAAGGCCAAATTACTACTCTAAGTCAGAATAAATAACTTTCAATTTTCCATAGGAGCTGAAGTTAAAAGATGAAGAATGTGAAAGGCTTTCTAAAGTGCGAGATCAACTTGGACAGGAATTGGAAGAACTTACAGCTAGTCTGTTTGAGGTTTGTTGGAGTCTTCGATGTGATATACTTAAAGGAAGCAGAGACAGATGTTTTGTGTAGAATCAGTATATTTGTATGCTGAATTTTTCTGCAATAAGCTTATAAAGGGATTTCTGTCCTGAAGAGCTGGGTGTGTTGAAGTAGAGGTCTAAGAGCAAGCAGTAGACTTTTCACTTAGATGAAAGAGACCTTGTTGAGCTTGTCAGTCTGCCTAGACACAAAATGAAGAAAATGAGGAAAATACATCCAAAAGCTTAAAACTATTTAGACTTGGGCATAACTATTTTGAGACAGCTTCTCTGTCTGACAAAAAGGCTATATAGAAAAGAGCTAAATTTGGGGTTGCCATGGTGACTAAATAAAAAAATAACGTAGTTCCAGATCACTGGAGGTAGCAAGTACATAACCATGCTTTCAGCTTTTGAATTTTGGGTCTGCTACTCCCAGAAACTTGAAGTATTAATACCGAGTGGTGCACCAGGTTGGAACCTGGTTACCAAGTGAGAAGCCTGAACTTTAAGTGGGACCTTTTCATTCAAGAAAAAGGCAGTAGTACCAACAGAGGTTGAGCTTGTATTACCCAGAAAAAAAAAAATCTTAAATCCATATTTGAAGCAGGATCAGTTTTCATTTTATCGTAGGAATATATATACGAATGCCTGGAGGCTAAATTGTGATACCCGTAACTGTCAGAATAAATGTCATAATGTGGAGATGATTTGTATGTTTACCAAATTGTAAGTATTGGTTTTCAGCATGTGCAGAAAGATACAACACTGGATATGTTTTAGAAGCAGTACTTTAACCTATGATGTTTTATTGGTATAAAAGTTCTCTAAAACCTTGAAAATACCGAAATTCAAAAATGAAGTTACAAAGTGCTCTGTGGGTTGGCAAGACATTTTATTTCATCATCTCAGTAGGGCAAAGTTACTTAAGGTATAAATCAATTCCTGTGTAGAGAATAAATGGGAGACTGGAAAGGTACCTTGTAGCATAAATATTGTGTATGTTGGGGGAGGAGGGGGGAATGTTGGGCAGGTAGTTTTATTTTTATTCTTCTACAGTTAAAATATTAGTGAAACTTTATATTGATTATGCTTCATAACTTAGAATAATACATGATTTGTTAAAGCTATTTTTGAAATATAGTGTAACAGTAATAAATGTTTGAGTTTTAATTATTCAGAACTGCTGGGGGCATGTCACTTGAATTTTCTTTTGTGATTTGTTTTCACTAAGAGGCCCTAACAAAACACAGTGTTGAGGTTTCTTGGTTATTTTTTTTTTTCACGGGGATCTACAGCCATTGAATTCACATTCTGTTTTGAATCCCACTGATTTCAGTGACCAGATAAGTGGATTATGCTGGAGCTTGTATTAATGCATCCCAGTGGAAGATGGCGACTTGTGTTGCACGGCTGGGTGTATATATTACATTATTACACTGTAGTGGCACTGTAACACGCTTTGCTTTCAGAGGTGCATCTTTAAGCAGAAACTGCATGGTCAATGTTAAATGTATTTGTACACATTGTATAAATGTGTATGTTCCCATTCCTGCATGTGTCTGTTGTAACTTCTGAGAATTTTACAAACCCATATTATACAGCTGTGTTGTATGCCAGGGGGAGCCAGATCTTTTGGTATGATGATGTATGAACTTTATTGTTTTATTTATATAGCGTCCAGATATGTGCTAGGCGCTTTACAGATATGAGAAGGATCCTATCCCAAGTGATTTAGACAGTGGCCCTGATCTTTCAATCTTTGTTGCCTTCAGTGTGTACGTACCAGTAATTTGATCACAGGCGCAAATTGCTGGATCAGAACCTAAACAAACACACTATGCAGACAAGTCTTAGAGGTATGAAGTAAAAGGATGTTAAAAAATTCCCAGTCCTTTTATGCTTTCTTCTTTATTAGCTCAGCCTTGTTTCTTTACTTGGATTGGTTCTTAGTGCTTTTTCTGTTCTACTTAAATGTTTATTAATTCATTAACTCTTTTTAAGCTGTTGCTCTGTCTGTTTTATTGATGGTAAGAATTTAGACTTTGTAGTTGTCTGACCGGTTTCCTCATGCAGATATTTACAGTTGACTAAAACCGGTTATTCTGGCTAGAAGAAGAGAGAAGTTCTTTTGAAAGTGCTACTGTGCCTATGTTGCTTTTGTTGCTACTGGTTGAGTCTTTCTCTTGGGGGTCAAGGAATTTGTTAGCCACCGAAGTGTGACTGGAGCCTGGCGTTCATGACAGGTATTGTTCCTACTGGAGGGGAGTGGGTGGAGTTGCTGAATTTCTGAATCTGGTGAGGACCAAGGAGAAGAGACTTAATGGGCCAGTGATGAATCCAAATGATGGATTTGTAGGTATTTTGTGGTATGTAAATACTTAATTTCAGGTTTTGCACAACTTTTTACAAGTAGTCTCTGTGAAGCAAAAGCATATCCTTAGTTTGTTGGGTTTTTTGTTTTTAACTGGATCTTTTAAATTTGTATGAAACATTTACTCTAGCTAAACATTTTTTTATAGGAAGCACACAAAATGGTTAAAGAAGCTAATGTCAAGCAAGCTGCAGCAGAAAAACAGTTAAAAGAAGCACAGGGAAAGGTGAGTCGGTGTCTTTTTTTACTGGCTTGCTTTGTCTTTTCACATGGTTATAAATCTAACGTGTGAATCATAAAGATGTAAATAGAGTATTACCTGTATGCATTATTAAAATATATACTAAGTTGTTTTGTGTTGCCTTGACACGTTCTTAGCTAACACCTATGGACACAGCTGGTGTTTCAGCATCATAGCAGGTAGTTAGCAAGGTGCATAGGAAGCTGGTGTTACTAGTGTGCAGGTGCATAGCCATCTGTGTGTTACAGTTGGAAGATGAAGTCTTGATTTGAACCAAGTTAACTGGAAATTTTGTTGAATGGTTTAACGTGTTTATTGCCGAATACAGTATTTTTGTTCGTTAATGACTTTTTTTTTTTACCCTGCAAGATTGATGTCCTCCAGGCTGAAGTAGCAGCATTGAAAACATTAGTACTCTCTACTTCACCGACATCTCCAACTAAGGAGTTTCAGTCTAGTGGAAAAACTCCTTTTAAGAAAGGCCACGCAAGAAACAAAAGTACAAGCAGTGCGATGGGTGGCAGTCATCAGGACCTTACCATGATGCAGCCAATTGTAAAAGACTGTAAAGAGGTAACAGTACAAGGATTGTCCTCTTTTTGCTGATAAGCTAATATTTGATAAGCTGACAAGATAATGATATTTTTCATTAATGAAAGAAAATTTCTCTTACATACCAATAGGCGGTGATTTTTCAAAGTCTTGCTTACCTTTAAATCATTAAGGGAAGATGAGATAAAATTTGAAATACTGGAATTAATAATTTAAAGATGGGAATTTAAAAAACCCAACACAGTATACAAAACTATCTGAATGGTAAGTTCTGGTGGCTTTTTACAAAGTCCCATCACCAAGAGTTCAGAAACTTTCATAAAGTGTCATAGAAAAGAGGAAGAATCATTTTATAGATCAGTAATGGGTGAAAGGGGACAGGGAAAAGACAGAATCAATGATTTATTAGACAACAGAAGGAGAGTTACCACTGAAGTCCCAGAGGGGCCTTTGATTATATATTTTTTTTCTTCTTTAATCTACTCATATAATTGAAAATGGGGAAATAATGAGATGACAGGTTGGTGCTTGAGTCCTTGGAATGGTAGTAGCAAAAAGTGACTGAAGAGTTGAGAAAGATCTGTGATACTCAGCGGTTGGTAGAACAGCAGATGAAATTCAGGATCACTAAATGAGAAATGAGGCATTGAGGGGAAAAAAAAATGCAACTCTAGCAGACGTGCAGTTGTGAACTTAGAAATAGCTACATGTGCTGGAAAAAAAAGTAGTGTACTTGTGGATAATTCTCTGAAAACACCATCTCAGTGTTCAGTGGTGGTCCAAGGCCCACAGAGCCTTAAGAGTTGTTACGAAAGGAATAAATAACAAAAAAAAAAAGTTTTCTACTGCTTTATAAACATGTAGTAAATGTATGCATCCATGCATACAGCTATATCTTTATCTCAGAAAGGACATAATGAAAATATGAGGAAGTGTGGCATAGTCAAACCTGTGGAAGTATTTCTGTGTAGAGAGACACTTGAGGGAGAACAAAAATCTGTGCAATTACAGGTGACATGGGGAAGATCAATGGTGCACCAATATTAATGATTTCTTGTTACAGGAGAACTCTGGAAGCTAAAAGGAAAATAGTTTTCATTCAGTATGTATTGAAATTTTAAAACTCACTGCCACAAGGTAGCAAAATGAAAAATAAGAATGTGTTCAAAACGTAGTCATGCAAAGTGACAGAAGAAATGCTTGTCAAGGTATACAGAAGATACATAACGACATTTGGCTTAGGCAGTTTCTTTAACTACAGCTTGCTAGAAGTTGGGAGGCGGTAAAAGGAAGACATATCACTGTCTTTCGTGCTGCTCTGCAGGCAGCTCTGACTGCTGGCCCTTGTCAGAGGGGTAACAGGCTAACTGGATCTTTAACGTGATTCACAGTGGCCATTTTTATGCTTTGTTTTGCCAGTCAAGTGTGTTTATAGCATACACCATTTTACTATAAATATTGAAAATAAGGGTGTTTTCCAGTTTCTGTTTCATATTCTGACTTCAAACAAAACAAACAAAAGCCCAAAGGCAGGCCACCCAAACTTTACATCCTGCCTGCCCACTTTCAGTCGTATCCAGGGTGTTTTACTTTTTAAACTTGAATCCTTCTTGCTCTTCAGAAAGATGCAAATGAAACGGGAGAGTGGGGATGGAATCCAATTGCTTTCGAAACATCACACTCATATCATGACTCAGTGACACTTTTAAGCATTGAGCATGAGCGCGAGAGGGGAGGAACCTCTCCTGCCTCGATTTCTTGTGGAGAGGAAGTGGTTAATGTGAAGATCATGCTGCAGAAGGTCCAGTGTGCCTGGCAGTTTTCTTTAATTCAGTCTCCTTTCTGATGGCTGCATGGGGAGGCACTTCAAGGCTGGCTGAGGCCACTCAAAACAAGCGACTGTTTCTTCCAGTGATGGCTCAGGGAATCAGTAAGAAACATGGATTTTTCCACCCCCTGCGACTGAGGCTATCTCTTCCAAGCAGTCATGTTTTAATGGAGTGCAACATGGGGTGGGGAAGGCAAGACTGCCTCTGGCATGTTCGTTGGGAAGCTGTTTTAAGCAGGGGAGACATGCCTTACCTGCTGCTTTTGTTATTTAATGCTTTGTGGTTATTGTTGGTCTAAGGTAAATGTTTTACGTTTCTGGGAGCTGGATCTGAAACCCTAGTTCTGCCTCTTCTTGCTAAATGTTCTTGCCACTCAGGTTTCCCTTTGTGTTCTGATGTGGAGTGACTTGACTTAAAAAGGGGTGCTGAGACTAACCTTACTCAGGGGTATGCAGTGACCCTGTGGTGTGGGGAATACAGCTTTTGGACCCTTACGGAGAGTCTGCCACCCAGAGCTTTGCATTTTGGGATGTTAGGTGGAGCTGGGGATAAATACAGGTCAGCTCTCAGGTTTCTGTGTGGAATGCAGACAAGAGTTAGAGTGGCTGTCTGCCTACCCTGAATTAGAGTAGAGCCAGGAAGGTGCCAAAATCCCAGAGAAGTAATTCTTAGCATGTGGGAGTAAACTCTAGGATAAGTAGACAAGTCTAATACGGGTATTGCCAGGATTTAGGCAAGCTCAGTAACTGGATCTCAGGCAGGCACTCAGCATAAATGCTGATAAATGCATCAGTGTGGTTCAAAGCACTGAAATGTTTCTCTGATTTTGTATTTTACTGTATAATGAAGACATAAAAAAAATCTAACTAGAATTATTGTTGTAATTGGCTGGATATTTAATTGCAGGTAATGAAAACTTTGATCTAGTGAGAGTGCAAGTAAAGACAGGGAAGAATTACACACGTAACGAACAGCACAGATTGGAAAGGAAGAGGATCAAGCTATATTCACTGATCAGTTTTTTTTCAAGGCAGCTCCTTTTATAAATTGCAGGTTTGGGGGAAACGGAGTTAAATCTAGAAAATAACTGAGTTAATAAGAAAGGCATCTTAATTTTTAGAAGCATATAGCACAAATGAAAAATGGCTTTCCTTTGCTGATATCTCCTGATTGTATTCATTTTAAAGCCAGACCTGGATGGTTTTAAGGTATGGGAAACATTCCTTGGGGGAGCAAGTTACACCTATTGAATTTCATTTGTACAATGAGGTTGGTGGCATAGCAACCAGAACATTTATGGACTAGCTTAATTAAGATAGTTATTCCTAATTGTACCTGAGTGTAAGGCAAGTAGCTCTAATGGAAAAAAAAATTGCCAGTCTAATTTCTGTAGGTTCTTTTTCAAGAAAAAATCCCCAACAAAAATGGCAAAATACCTTCCTGAAATATATATGTAAAAGAATGGTGAAGTGCTGGAAGCTCAGAGGAGGGTTAAGTGAAGTGCTGGGAGCTCAGAATCTTTCATTCTGCATGGGGACAGAATGAAAGACTGAAAGAGGTTGCTTCAAAGCAGGGTACTGATCTTTTTAATAGGATTAAAAATCAATTATCTTAATTTTTAGCATACGTTTTTTTCCCTCTTTCCTTACCTCATCTATATTATTTGGTTTTCATATTACAAAATTTTAAAATTGCATCCTGGCTTACCTTTGGCCTGCAGTGTACATCCCTTCCTATAGCTTTAGGTTTGGGTTTTAGGAATATAGTATATATATACAATACAGTATATTGTACTGTCTGCGATAGTACAAGAAAAGGATGTCAAAACCAGGGTGGTGCTGCTGCATCTGAAGAACAGATTGGTGTTACATACCCCACTGGGGACTGGCCTTAGTCTTTTATGTTGGAAGTGCTCATACCCTCTCTGCTTGGCTCACATCTTGGAGCAGTGTTAGTGCCCATGTACAGGATCCTTCTCAAGTAATCCTAAACCAGAAGATGTGCTCTGGGAGTACCTTGGCATGCTCCAGCTGTTAGTGGGTAGCTGTCCTGTAACACAAATATGGATTTTAATACCGACTGAGTGCCAGTCTCCTGAACACCAGAATGGATAGGTGCCTTCCTACTGCTAAACTGCTCTCGACATGGAGATAGCAGAACAAGGTGTTTTAAAGCAGATAAAACTCTCTTCCTAATACAGAGCAAGCTTACTTCTTTCTTGATTTAATGGGTTAGTTTAGTATTTCTCCACTGACTAGAGGAGCTGTAGGGGAGCAGGCTTAAATCTTGCCCAGTCAATATCCTTGCCTTCATGTTGTAGCATGGTATAGGAGGGAGTTTGGACTTAAAGACGAAAAATTAAGAATAACAGTATAGTTGGCTTGTACATTGAATCTTTGTTTTCTTCTGTTAGTATATTTAATGTGTTAAATGTCCATTTTCTTTTAGTGTCTGGATAGCAGCGTATTAAGTTCAGATGCAAGGTGAACATGTAAGATGCCCAGGATTGCAATTGTTTTCTTTAGGTAACTCAAATAAATGTAGATGGATTAAAATGCTGTAATGAAAATGCATCAATAAGAAAATCTTTGGCTTTTTTCTGTTGGACAACCAGTTAAATTTTTCAAAGCTATCTTGGAAGCTTAGGAAATGGGTGAGAGGTAATTAGCTTGTCCCTGGTGTTGTGGTGACTAACGAATGCATTCTTGAAAACTACTTGTTTTGATTTGCTTATATTTACAGTCTTAAAGTGGTTTTAAGAAGGTGTTTGGTAGCTGGGGCACAATAGCATTCTCTCACAGTGTGATGGAAAGCATTTAGTTCTAATGCTAGTTGTTTACCTGAGGATATTTGCAAATGATAGACATTAGTGTGATAATTGCAGTACTAAATTATGTGAATCTTTGTGTTCTAGGCTGACCTGTCTTTGTACAATGAATTCAGATCTTGGAAGGATGAGCCTACTATGGACAGAACATGTCCTTTCTTGGACAAAATTTATCGGGAAGATGTTTTTCCATGTTTAACCTTCTCAAAGAGCGAGGTAATGGAAATAGTCTAAATGTGGCCACTGACACTTTTGCCTTTAAACATGTTACATGAAGCCAGTAGACTGTATTAAAAATGTTTTCATGTGCACTTTAACTGTGGGTTTTTTTTTTCACTAGAGTGTGACTGTTTGTTTACAATGAAGTGTTGAACTTTTAGTCTGGAGTATTGAAATGACCTTTTTTTTTGCTTCACCGTTATGTTGTTCCAGATACAGTCGTTTTAGGTCTACAGATGTTACTCCTGTCTGGCAGAATCTGATGTTTGTAGGGATGGATGGTGGGCTTTTGCCTGATATTTCAGAGATACTGTTTTGTAGAAGGAGTGTCTTGTCACTGTCTTTTGTTTATATAGGGGGCACTAGAGACCAGTATATTTAGTTTTGTGGACCAGTTTTCTCTCCTAGCAGTCACAGCAGCCTGCAAGCACAGTCTGGGCATTATCTTAGAGAGGTTTGAGTTACTAGAATTAGGCTGCAGGATTTGATGCGATTCCACAGGGGCACTTTGGGAATATGGTTTTAGGTGAAATTAATTAGGAGACTCATTATTGTGTTATTCCTGCACATTCTCCCATGCAGTGCAAAAGACTGGAGTTGTACCCATTCTGGGAATAACGTGGAACTGATTCCAATTGCTTTACTTAGTTTTTGTTCTTAAGCAGCATTTACAGGCTGTAGTTGTATTACCAGTTCATTATGGTTGGTGTGCAGCATCATATAAACCTCTCCCACTAAAACAGTGTACTTGGTTACTATGGGAATTAAATTGCTTCTGCAGAATGTGTAAGCAGGCCATCCTCTTGTCTTTCCCAGCAACTTCATTTTGTGTTTTTCTGCTTCACTGGTGATATAATTACTGTAGATTTGCATTTCCTCTTAAGGAAAGAATGAAGCTTCTAGTGCTTGTCAGTTATATCAGTTACTGTTTCCAGATGCTGTGCAGGGTGACCAACTTCTTTTTCACTTGAATATCCATAAACTAATGTGCAGTTAAACAATAAACCACATGTGTTTTTGAGGTGTTGGATATGCAGTTATCTGAATGGTTGAAGTATTACATTAACTCTCAGTGGCCTCTTGTGTACATGTAGTGTTTTGCTTTTGGGAGATGGCACAGAGAGTATTTCCATATGAAATACTTTAAGAGCAACATTCTGTTTTTAAAATATTCAAAGTACATTAGAAAAAATATATTTATTAGTCAGTAGGAAGGAACTTTGGCCCAGAATTATTTCAGTAAAAACATACATTGCTCCTTCATTTAAATCAAGTAATGGCTGTTACTTGTCCATACTTAAACATCAGTCTTGAGCAAGCATTGGGTCCAGTCAAGCAAAATGAACATATTTCTAGTGTCTTATGACGGTGTGTTTATAAACTAACATAAGCCTGAGGAAAGTTGCGCTTTGTTTCATGATGATGATGTTTTTAATGAGACTAACATTTGAAAGTTGGAACTGGCTTTTCTATGTATTATGTTTTTTCTATTTACTGTTCAGTCTTACTTGTTTGAACACCTTTCTAAAGCTATCTTTGGCTGAAAAACAGTGACATAGTATTTACTGTTATTTGCAGGGTAAGGAAGCATGCTGCATCACTTTGTGTTTCCATAGAACACAATTAAATTAGAACAATTTTTTAAAATAAACAACGTTTGTGCCTTATCCAGTCTCTGACAAAAACACTGCATGTGCAAACATATGTGGTATTTGGGCTTGTGAGGAATGACTGAAAATACAGGTAGCATTTTAAACATGCTTGGCTACATTACTGGCTGTAAAGGCAGTTATCTTGCCTCGGGGAGGGCAGGGTTATTTGGAGGGCAGAATTTAAACAGGAGCCTGGAAGTGGGACCTCTTGCTCACGATGAAAGCAAAATCTCATTTGTAATTGAATTTCAGTTTTGGTGAGTTGACTTTTTTCAGTGTTCCTAACTTTACAGAAGAAGAAAAATATCACTGCTTTGAGGCAATGGATAATACAGAGCTTTTTTTAACGGCTTTCTAAATTTTTCTTGCAGTTGGCCTCAGCTGTTCTGGAAGCTGTTGAAAACAACACTCTGAGCATTGAACCTGTTGGCTTGCAACCTGTTCGATTTGTGAAAGCGTCTGCAGTTGAATGTGGAGGACCAAAGTATGTTAAGCTGCCAGACAGAGGGGAATCTTGACTCATTTGAGATAAGTCTTGGATTGAGAAAACTGCTATCAGCTGATCACCTCAATCAAATTTGTGTATCTTAAACTATTTTATTTCCTAAAATCTAAGACTGCAAGATTGCTGTTACAATATTTTATGGGGAAAGTAAGCAATTAATAAATTAAACTTGTAAAAAAGACTAATACAGAAGAAACCTTGAAGACAATTTCTCTTTTTGGGAGAGCTGTTTACTTTGCTTACGATGCATTGAGCACAAATGTAATGTTCACTTTTTGGAGAAGACCATCCTGATACTTAAGAGATGCTTTTGAACTAGGGGCTGTCACCTGGAAAGCATCATGACAGGAATAGGTATTGAAGTAGTACAGGCTGAATATCGGGTCTCTAGAATATTTGTGACTTACGAAAGTTTGGACATACATAGCACGTTGACCAGGGTAGCTGGAGAATTTGAGAGGAGTTATGTAGAGTAAATCTTCTGAATTAGAGTAGGAGGAATGTAACGAGGCAGGAATGAAGGTGAGTTTGAACCTAAAGCAGCAGGAAGTATGCTTGAATGACAGGATGGTTATCTTAGAAACTTTGGAATTGTCCTAGAGTAATCTGAGGCAAGACTTGTCAGGTACTAATACAGAAGTTAGGTGGGAGGAACTTGCCTTGAGGCAGTGGCGCTTTAGTGGGTGTGGAGGAGAAGGAAGGGATTTGTAGTGTGCTTTAGTGTATGTCGGGGTTAAGCAGGCAAGGTCAGTGTTAAGCTGGAGCCTTCCATATCTTGAGAAAGCCTTGAATCTTCTGTTGGAGATCTTTTGGACAAGTTTACAATTCGCTCCAATATTTATTTTGTCAGAGCTTAATTTTCTGGTAGAAAACTTTAATCAAAATATTACCATCTGGCTCTTAGGTTTCTTTTTTCTTTCTCATCACTATTGGATTTTAGTTCCTGTTTTATTTTTGAGTGGAAAATACATTTAGCATATTTCAAAACTGTTTAATTTCTCTTTCAAGAAGCTGCATGACATGAAAACTGTTTTGTGACTTAGTCTTTGATCTTTCTAGCCTACAAAATGTAGACATTCATGTATTTTTTCAGTTTACTCCTGTCACCAGAAAACACGCTTTTGAGCTGTCACCCTCCTTACAAGGCCCTCTCCCCTCCCCCCCAAATAACAGAGCTACTCAAGGGGTGGTGATTTCAAGTCCGAGATACACCACTGAGCTGCTTTCCATGAACTCAGTAGAGAATCTGGACAGCCAGAACTTGCTGAAATGTGACATGTCATTAAAGAGCAATTGGCAAATTGATTTAAAATCGCTGTGGTTCAAGCAACTTCCCTATGTCTTGACATGATGAAATGTTTACTCTGAGCCAGGAGACTCGCTTGCATCATTCATAAGTTTAATGAGATTTTTAACCCATTTTCTCCACTGTAAGATTTTTTTAATTATAATTTATGTAATCCTTAATAGTTGACCAGGTATAGATTAATGTTTTGAGATTACTATGCAGAATTTACTTTAAATGTATCAAAAGGCGAGGTGTACTCCTTTCCCCCTCTTTCAAAAACAAAAACTTTCGTGGTATTGCTTGTAGATCTGTAATAGGTAAGCAATATGTAGTATTTAAATGTAATTTGGCAGCAAATGTGCTTTGCCTTGTTTATCATTGCTGGCACTGAATGGGAAACAGGTGTTCTGGTTTTCACTGAACCAGAGTAGCAGCTTCACAGTTTTTGTGGTGCAAAGCAGTATCTTTATTGAAACCATGTTCGTAAATAGGTAACAAAACATAGACAACCTGTAGATAAATAATAACTAATGCTAGACTAATGTTCTTAAAGGAATTATTTTATTGTAAGATTGCCTGGGGGATGGGGGAACAGATGCATAAAATAGTGGGTAATAGCCCAACAACAAAATAAGGAGTGGAAGGCGAAGAGCTGTGATAATAGTGAAGCAAGGTTCTTGATGCACAGGAATTATTGAATGGTGCCTGTGGTGGTGTGTAGTAAGTGCTGCCTTTGGCTAAGACAGCTGGGTTTCCCCATGGGGTTCGAATAATTGTCCCCGTGGGGATCAAAGTGCTGAGCTGCACGTGTGCTGTACAGTGCAGAACTGAGTCATTAGTAGTAACCATCATGCCAGCATTTAACCCGGTGTGATGGAAGATAACATATAGAAGATAATTCTGTAGCCAGAAGGGAAAAAAAGGGCTTTATTTTCCTAGCATTGAAAGGCTGTCTGTCTTCTCACAAAGGCTTGGCTGAAATTGCAATCAGCGTGCTTCAGCTACTATAGGATTTCTTGGATCAATGGACTGCTGTCAGTCCTCATAAATTGCTATGGAAAATCATATACACGCTTCAATTTCCTTCTGTCTGACATGGTTCTGGGGACCAGCTGCAGGCTATTTAAAAGGGTGTGTGAGCCACTGTTTAGAACCACAGAAGCTTAGTAATTTTTGTTTCACTTTTGAAAGACTGCTTGTTCTTCAACTCCCTAATTTTGTGAGGTAGAAATGGAAGGGAGAGGAGCCAGCAGCTTTTCAAATCAAAGAAACAGTGGATGCCATGACAACCCAGTTCATCTGAGCTGCTGCAATATAGAAATTCCAAATACATTTAAATTCCCATTTTATTTACGTTTGTTAAGATAGTATTAATAGCAGTTTCTTCAAGAGATTCAAACCTTCTTTAGAAAAAGACCATTGGAGGAAACTTAAAAAAAAGATTTCCTTTCCCTGAATTGTTTTTTTGGGAAGAGTTCATGGTGTCTCCTGACTTTTCCTTGATCCTGAATTCTTGCAATACACCAGAAAATGTAAACTTGATTATTTTACCATCACTTCTTATAATGGTAATGGAAAGAATTACTGCCAGACAGCCTACTTTCTTTTGTCTCAAATAATTATATTTAGGATATTAAAAATACTATTTCAGTTTGGGCATAAATGCAAAGCTGATCTTAGAACGCATCTGAGGCTTCAGAGAATTGACTGCTCTTCTGTAGAGCTGATACTTTGTTATGATGAAATGCAACATCAAGCAGAATTTAAAAACAAACAAACCAAACCCGCTTAAATGTGGGCATCAACTAATAGTTTAAACAATATTTATTTCACCTAGGAAGAGTTAATTAAGGAAATCCCACAGTTTCAGAGTTGTCAAGCCAGTTTGAATTAATGAATATGGAAGTATATGACCAGAGCTGAAGAAGGTTTTAAAAATCAGAAATGCATCACAATGCACCAGTATTGAAACAAAACTAGTCCTTGTGGAACTAAAATAGTTGATAAGGTAATAATTGCAACTGATAAAATGAAGGCAGAGGCTCGGGTATCTGGACCAATATGAAACAATTACATTTTACCACCTTAAACACCTGCAGGTATTTAGACATTAAGGTCAGATTTGCTTATTAAATCATGCAAACTTTGTATTTTGTAGGAAATGTGCGCTCAGTGGACAAAGTAAGTCATGCAAGCACAGAATCAAATTAGGAGATTCAAGCAGTTATTACTATATTTCTCCTTTCTGTCGTTACAGGGTAAGTAGATTCACTGTGATTTCTTTTTGAGTAGTAGTTATTCAGTTACTTTTCCACACCAGTTTACAGAATTATATTAATCACCATTATTTTTGTATGGGTTCAGATCACTTCTGTGTGTAACTTCTTTACGTATATTCGATACATCCAGCAAGGACTGTTGAAGCAGCAGGATGGTGAGTAGGAAATGGTATTTAGCATGTATCAATAGAAATGTGTATAGTGCATGTACCTGAAACTTGCTATCTGTGCACAACAGCACCGACCTGACATGATAGGAAAGCTGTCTGTTGGTAGTCATTGTTGTAATTATGAGAATTTGGTCATAATCCCACCCCCCAATATAATGGGATTTTTTTAACAACAAATTCTAAAGGGGTCTTTAGTCCATGTAAAAACCCCTTATGTTTTCAGTAAGAAATGTTACAGAATTTTCCATAACAAGAGGAGTCAGTCACAGTATTCTGCACAGCATTCAAAAATAAAGGCCCTTTCACAGGATATGGAGATACTTTAGACTAACAATCCTTAAGTTTGGTTTGATCAGGGCCATTTTTTCTTCTTTAACTTGGTGTTTTGGTGTGTCTTCTCATCTTGTGCATTGCTAATTTAGACAGTCTTTCTTGTCAGACTATGAGGGAGAACTGGCAAGGATGACAATATTTCAGGTTAAATGGTAAAAAATTAACAGGAAACTGTACTGTAATCATTCATCTGAGTGCAGCTGAGAAATGAGGGGCCATTCACTGCTGTGGCATGGCAAATCCTCATGATTATAGGTTATAAATTGATTATCTGATTATGAATGTATCTGACAATGTAAAGCTTGATTACCCCCCAAAAGGGAAATGTGTGTTTTATTGCCAATGCTTCAGGCTGTTTCTGCACTCCCCACCTCCTCAGATAGCCAGTTGCTTTGCTCCTGTCAGAATAGCATATCCAACAACTGCCTCTTTAAACTCTGTGCTGTAATTCAGAAATCTGTTCAACTCTGCTCTTCAGTTTCATTATGTCTGTATAAAATAGGGTGGTTATGAAAATGTATGCACTGTACACCTAGTTACTTACCTCTGGAATTTAAAACTATATTGTGCATTGGAGTTGTAGTTATTGGTCTTCATTTGCGAGACTATTTACCTGTTGATCACTGTAGTTGAAAATTATGATGATTTGATCATGTTTAAACCATACACAATTGATGTAATTGTATTTCCTGTCCAGGTCAAGGAATATTGCCCAACAGCCTCCGGTCCAATTTTTTTTTTTTTTTTAACAGACCATATCACTTAGGCTCCTGGATTTGCTAAGCACAGAGAGTGGAAAAAGAATGAATAACCTTGTCTCAATAGTTAATTAAAAAAATTGCTTTCACTGTTCAAATTTAAGTACTATATTTTAGTTAAGTTGCATTTTTGGAAGTAAAGTAAAACAGCATTGTAATGTTCATGGCTGTCTGTGCTTTTCATTTTTGCAGTCTTTGAGTCCATCTGGATTTGCTTCATCCAGAATTTGGCCATAATTAGCACCACTTTGATCTATCTCACCTATAGTCATCTTTTCTGATGTTTCCCAATTTCCAGAGCTCAGTATTTCAGCGACACCCAAATCTTTTGTTTCCATTTCTCACCTGAAGTATTCCTGAGGTGACAGACTGTTCCTTACAAAAAATAATGTTAACTTCCTTTGTCAAAGGGAATTATTTTCACAGAATTCACCCGAAATTCACTTATTTCATACACTAAATTCTTTAATGAAAGCTTCAGATTGTGGTCATTTTTACTGATATACCAGCATTGTGGAAGATCTTGAAAATGTGTTATTTAAGTTTTAATTTGGTTTATAGTTAAGAATCTTTTACTTTGATTTTTTTTATAGGACCATAATCTAGAATTTTTAAAATAAATACTTTAATAAATTTTGTCACAACTGAGCACAAATAGCCCTTACACATATTAATTCTGGGTTTACTAGACATCTGGTGCTTCTGAAGTTCCCCTAAACTGATGTACAGTGAGGAAGCCTGTATACAACAGTTGAAATAAAACATTACTACAGTATGTTTAATGATATTTCTGTCTGTGTTTTTTTTTTTAGTGGACCAGATGTTCTGGGAAGTGATGCAGTTGAGAAGGGAGATGTCACTAGCAAAACTCGGCTATTACAAGGAAGAGCTCTAAATCTTTTGACTCTTGCGCGTGCATGAACTTCATTGAATATACATAACTAAAATCGCTGAATCTTTTTTTTTGTCACTCGATATTTATTTCCACAAAGTGGGTCCAAGATCTTTCTCCTTTTGCAGATTGCACTAAGAAGTACTGTGATTGTTTCAACTGACCGATGCTGTATATGCCTACTTATAATACTTAGTTGAACAAATGTGGTAAGCACTTGCAGGTGTATTAGTGATTGTAATTTACATTTAAAACCAAACCTTCTGATTAAAGTGATAGTCGAAGCAGTGTCTGTCTCCTGTACAGTTAATGCAGAACGATGTCAACTTCTCTGCTAAGTCATTCCTAAATGTAAAACTCAGATGATTTTATGAAGACTGCATAAATGCCTGACACTTCCTTCACTGTAGTGTTTTAGATACGTGTATGTATCCCTCTGTGCACATATGCCGATGCAGTTAGCAAACAGTTGGGAGAACTTGGGATTCTTTAAAGTGCTGCTTTCTTATATTTTTCTTTTTTAAAACAATGTAAAAGAGAAGGAGATATAGTGAAAGAGTCAACAGCATAACAAACGTGGATATCTTCTCTCTAAAGAAGGGTGCTTTTCAAGCATCACAGAACACTAAAATCACCTTGTTCACTCCTTGGTTTGAAATCTGTCCTGACCCCAGTCTGATTGCTAAAAACTCTCTTCCCCTCCAATTTTCCTTCATTACAGTTTTTCCATTCCTTAAAATGATTTTTTTCCTCCTGCTTTTTTTGGATTTCCAGTATTTTATATATCAGTTTCCTATAGCTGTCCTTGAAACTGGAAAATATCCATTAAGTGATTTCTTTAACATGCTGATGATAATTTCCATGTAATGTTAGCACTTTCTTCACACACACTATTTGCTACAAAGAGAACCCAAAAAAGGATTATGGCTTATTAAGGAAGATGTTTTTTCTCTTCAAATGCTACTTTTGCATTTCAGGTGGTCCTTTTTCCCTGGACATAGTCTGAGGTGAAAGCAGGCAGCTGATGAGGTTGCAGGGAATGCAGTTGTGTGGGTACATGGAAGACTTGCTGTGTAAATGCCCTTTTGGAGAAGCACTAGATCTTGGTCTGACAGCTGTTTATCGATTACAGATAAGGTGAAAGCACTGGCAGGTAAACTGACAAGCATTAGAGGTACAGGAAGGTTTGTAGACTTGGTTCTTTAACAAAAAGCATCTCTGTGGTTAGAGATGTCTTTTGTTTGATGCAGAACAAAAATACCACTGTTCATCACTGTCTTACTGGCATGTTCTTCGTTTTACAAAAATAAGTAGAATGAGCAGTGACACTCAATTCCATACTTGTGTTGCTTGCATGTATTTGTGCCTGAAAACACTTGGCAAGTGTTGGCTTTGACCTGGCATTTCAGTGTTAAGATTAAAACAAACAAGTGAACCTAAATATTTTACCAGTAATGGAGTATGTGGGGCCTGGGATATGTCAGTCCTGATGAAATATTTATATCAATCTCCTGTCACTGGGTACTAGTTCCTACTGTAGAAACCTGGGAGAATTCTGCCTCCAGTTTCGTTTATTATTTTAGTGATTAAAGGAAGTCTGGTTTTACTCGCTCCTAGAAAACAAACTGCATTTGTTGGTATTATAGTTTATGCTAGGCTCATAAATGCTTCCTAAATGACTGTTAATCCTTAGTTTACATAATGAAACCAAAGAATTTCCAGCATTAGCTAGCAGTAGTTAAATGATAGCTGGGTAACTGCTGCTGTTCTGACTTAATAATCCTTTAAAAGTGTTGCTCATTCAAGCAGATAGAAGGGTCCTTTATGTATGCGATAGTGTCAAGCCACACCTGGTATCTGAAGTTTATTATGCTGAAGTGATTTTCTTGTAGTAGGGACTACAAAGATGTACCCCCTGTATCTCAGTGGTCACTGGTTCCATTACATCAACATCTCCTGAATCCAGATCGACTTGCTTCAAGTCCCTTTCCCAAAAATCTTCTCTGTATTTTTAATATAAGCTGCCTCTCATGAGAAACCTGTGCCACTGTGAGATTCGGCCTTGTAGAAACTGCACAACGGTTACTTGTCTGGTGAATGTAACTGCTTCAGAAAATGGCCTTATTCCAGACTTCTTGACTTCACTGAAGCTTTTGTTTGCAACCAAATGCCTCTTTTCAGACATTTTGAGTAGGCAAATGTATGTTTCTTCTGCTCTTCTCTTGGGAGTGATAGAGGCAATTTTCTGTGTACAAAGATCAATTTCAAGAAAGTGAAATAAGGTTTGCTACTCGCCTTAAAGACCTTTGCTCAGTGTTCAGCTTTCCCATACGTTTTTCAACATTACCTTAGCGTTAATCTGTCATGTAGGTTTTTTAATAACGTTCTTTGTGTTGAGATACAGTTTATTTTTTCTGGAGCAGTTGGACAGTTTATTTTTTCTGGAGCAGTTGGACGCTCAGCTGCTGGGGTAGTATGTACAGTGAAACGAGTGATAGCTCCGCTCCTGTGTTTTCGATTACTGTTGCTTTGGTCTTGAGGTTTAACCTTGGCTAGCAGTAACGTACCGTGCTGCTGCTGGCTCGTCTCCCCCCTCCAGTGGAGGAGAGTCAGAAGAAAGGACAAGCTCGTAAAGTTGAGATAAGAACTATTTAATAATTGAACATAAATTAAAATTACAGTGATACTACCAATGCTAACAATAGTATTACTAATAAGTAATTAAAATAATAAAAATTAGAACATATGATACAGTTGCTCACCACCCGCTGGCAGACACATAGGTCCTAAGTGGCGAGAGTCAGAGCCCAAGAGCCCCCAAGCCTGAGCGTGACAACATGACTGGGAAAAAGCCAGCTGACCCCCCAGTCCACTAATGAATGAACCTGCCCCACTGCTAACAACCATGCCAAGCCACTAACAAAGGAGCTAAGGAGCTAGCAAAAGCCTAACAACACCCCGAGCCACTTCCCACCTAAGTACTGTGCAGGTGTACTGAGCCTGATGTACCATGGAATCAAATGTTCCCTCGGCCAGCTGTCTGCACTAAAGAAAAGCAACTTTTTCCTGCCTGAACCCAGCATGTTTGGTCAGTTGTATGAATGCATCACCCATGTAAAAGCACAGGGACAAGATAAGTAATTTTTATTGCTGCACTTTTTGCGCATGTGTAATTATGTTTAGTGCTGGGACCAAAGGTCCTTAAGAACCCTCGACGTATTGAACGGCAGAACGCACGTCACCTTGCCTTAACGGCCTTGCCAGATGCTCCTTCGCATGTAGCAGAGCTTAAGTCTAGTCCTGGCCCTAGTTGTGGAGGAACGAAATCAGCGGGGACAAAGTAACTGAAAGCTCCGAGAAAACTGTGATGCGTTCCTTGGCATGTTCATAAGCATCTGGAAGAGACGGTGGGTTTTCCTCAGTGGGATTCTTCAAGCAGTGGGAAAGCAAAACACTTCTACTGGTTTTTCATGGATGTGGTGGGAGAAAATGAGGCCTTGCAGCAGTTCTTTGAAGGTAAGAGTCAAGTGTTGCGGGAGAGTTTTAAGAGTTTCTGGTGGCAGCAGAAATACAGTAATTGTTTGGGATTAATTAAAGAAGAAAGAGCCCCCAACCCCAAAGCTCTGTTTACACAAAGCTGTAACATAACGCGTTACGGGAAGAGTACAAACAGTAGAGAGGGACTGCAGTGCCTTTTGCTTTGTGCTTTGGCCAGAAGGCCAAGGGAGGGGTGGGCCCTGCAGGGCCTGCCGTACCACCGTGGGAATTGCCCAGGAGAAAAACGAGGGAGCGGCGGAGGTCTCCTTGACATTTATTGCTTCTGAAACCTCAGCAATGATTTTCATGAAGTTAGAGAGCTTCCTCCCTGCTCTGTCAGACCACATCTTGGGTTAAAGAGGGATTTCTTTCCGCTAATATCGATCCTTCTGAAACAGCCTGTTTATAATGGGTAAAACGGTGATTGTGGCAGTATCCTTGGAATCTTTCTGAGAAGTGATGTGTGGGTTTGGTTTTTTTTCTTTCCTTTTGGCTGGGAGCTGTCCTTCTGCCTTTTCCCCCAAACATTCTACATTCAAGCAGATCCTGTTTGTCTCCTGCCTTTCTCTTACTGCAGAATGTGCTTTCTAGTAGATTCCATGATAAAACTGCATTTCTCAGGCCCTGCCATATGGCTGTTCAAAGGCTTATGTATTTTTAACTGCTTTATTTTTTACTAAATCTTTTCTTGTCCTTCCTACAGTTTGCACTTTGCATTTTTCTTTTTTAGTATTAACCTTTCTATTCCAAACTTCTCTTTCTCTATTTGTTTTCCCTCTATCACCCGTGCAGGTGTTCATGTGATCTCAAAGTAACTTGGAAACCTGCCTTTTCTATTTCAGATAAATGCAGAGAAGGAAAAATTATCCATTTAATTTCTATGGTGTTAAATAAGTGGTTTTGGTTTTTATGTGGTCTTTTCCTCCCCTCCCACTCCAGCATTTTGTTGGCCTTGGTGAGAGGTGGCAACTCAGACTTCTGAGTTTTAATTTCAATCTGAGAAATTAAAGAGTCTCCAATATTGATTAAGAAAAAGTATAGAAGTCAAGAAATTTTAAATCAGTGAGCCACTATCTAGAGCTGATAACCAGCAAATGTGGTGTTTATAGATTTTGTCCAATTCATACCATGTTTCTTAAGTTCCCTTTAAACTAACAAACTTGCTTGGCTTTGCTTTCAGCAACATAATGTTTGGTTTTGTCAAGCTATTCGTTCCAGTACTGCATTGTATAGCTGTTAAACTCTCAAAATAATGTTGGACATGAATTATATTAAAAAGCCCTCATAATCACAAACTGTTAAGGAACACACTTGGAAAATGAGACTCAAGGGAGTATGGGTTAGGTTCTGTTGGCTTCTGTGACGATACTTTAATGGTGGAAGCTATTGCAGATATTTTAGCTGTATGAACTCTTTAGAATTGCTAATTGTAATTCTAGAATTACTGTTTTAACTCTCTTAGAAGGTAGTTTAGCAGAACATGTCTGAGCCAGTGTGAGAAACCCTGTCAAATCCATATAGTCGCAGAAAAAAGAAACATCTTGGGAGGTTATGTTCCGCTCTATAGCGCAGACAAAGGTCCGCTAACACCACGCAGCATGCAGGGATGCTGTTAGGTGGCTGAATTTGGTTATCTGGATACCAAGATTAGATACGTGTCAAGGCAACAGGAGCTAATCGTTCTTCCGTTGAGCAGGCAGTGGCTGGTACCCCCTTGCTGTGAAACCATAGGTAAAGCTACAAA